GGTAAAGTCTTGTATGCCTGAAAGTGGACTTGGCCACCCGACACGGACGGTCGGTTTTCGGAATAAACGCGTCGTTTGTGGACAACATCGGCGTTGTACACATAATCCACCTAATCAGATGAAATACCGATAAGTTTTACCATGTATTTCTATTTTTATGATCAAAAACATTCGGTGCAAAATGCACTCCTAATTTCGGGGTAAAATTATCCTTTAGTAAACAAGCTTGTTTACGTTCAATTCTTTCTTCAAAAATTGTGCGCAACGTTCCGAAGTCTACTAAGCAGTCATGGACCTTAGAACAACTACGATCGGAACTGGGGGCAATCAAAATTGAAGACGTTCGTCTGCATCAATTGGGTTGTTTAATTTTTTTAAATATATCGGTTGTTATATATTATCTGAAAGAGCTTCGTTTTCTGAGCACAGCGATATTTTTTTCGAACCCACACACTTTCATCTCGATTTTTAAATCAAGATTTAAAGCAAAATAATAACTTCACTGTTCAACACTAAACTGACAAACTGACAGCTCACTCCCATACAAAGTCACACCATAGAGGTAACTCTAAAGCAAACCCCACACGTATCAATATATTGACGCGAAGGGGAATTATTGACATTAATATTGATAATGTGAATACAGAAATATTGTCAATACCGATGTATTGACGTCAATATTGAATGTATTGACAATACGATTATTGTCAATAAAAGCAATCGTGTACGGTCCACATAAGACTACCGGGTCCCGAAGAAAATCATTATTATTTTTGGCTCACTCAGTACCAGAACAACGGTCCCAAGCAGTCCCAAGCTATTTCACTCACCCCTGCATGTTCTGCATGAATCCACACACCCCTGATGTTATCTGTTAAACTTTCATAGCGAATCAAAACAAACATAGTGTAGTAATAGAATTTCAACTAGAATAGGGTACGTTAATCGTTTGCTTGGGACCAATAGGCTACTAAAGTGGTGAGCCAATTTAAAATCGTTAGTTTCGTATTGATTGTTGGTCACACTGAGGGGTGCTAATAAGGAGATTTTTGCAAATGTAATCGTTCTTATTTAAAATAGTTCCAGTGTACAAAAATTGATGAAATTTTGGGTTTGGGTTCCATTTTTAATGCAGATTACGAATATGCATTTACCTCAATACCTTTAAAGAACCCAATTGGTCATGATAAGGAGAGTCATATTGCCCCATTATTGTAGTGCATTTTGTCCCATTGTTGGGGTGCATTTTGTCTCATTATTATGGGGCGTCTTGCATCTTTGTTGTAGTGCATTTTACCCCAGCATGGGTGCATTTTTCCCCGATTAGTGGCATTTTCAGATTATTTTATCATGTCCTAAAACCACTTTTTAAAATATGTTTTCAAAGTGTTCATGTATGTTTCGGATAGAAACAACTGAATAATGCTTAAAAAAATTATGCAATACATGATATTGACTGTTGCTTTTAATTTTAATGGGAAAACACCTTGAGTTCCTTAACTGGTGCATTTTACCCCAGGAACCCCTACCTAAACAAGCTGTTGCTGCCTGTTATTTTTTTTATCTGTGCAGTTTTAGATGCTCACGCTTCATTCAAAAGCATTCGCTGCGAATATTATTCGGCTGCGAAGCAAGTTGCTGTCCAATTCACCGAATCAATTTTCGTGCATTAATGAACAATTGGTGAGTGACGCTTGCTTGATTGCGAAAGGTGGCAACTCAGCGAATGACAGATAACAGTAGGAGAAGCGGAAAACAGAAAAGGCACGGGCCCTTCGTTGCTCACAAGTATTAGTGCACGAAGATAAAAGCTTTTACTGCAACAGAATAATACCGTTGGTGAGCAGTAGAAAAGGCGAAACACGATTCGTTGCGAAGATCAGCAACCCTGGTTTGAATGTTATCGTTTCCGCGAACTACTCGCTGCAGCGCTGGCATCGAATCACTTTGACGTTTCTATATATTCGGTTTTTCTTGCATGCAACATTGTTTGCGAATCAGCGAGCAAGCTTGTTTTCCGCTATAGTTTTATTCAAAGAGTTACGTCTGTTTGTCTGTGATAATACGACATAGTCAGCAGCAGATCAGCTGCCAGTTGACATTGAAGGAATGATCATTTTCACATAGGGGAATTTACGTATTCTCGTCAATCTAAGCAGCGTCCGCACTTCTATTAGCATTTTCTCAGCGTCACGCTCATATATGACGTGTCTGTTTGTTTACATTCATCTGCTGCTTGCTTCTCTATCCATTCCAATCGATAGAATTTTTCAAACCGGTTTTAAAGCGTTTTTACAACGCTCCAAACTTCTCAGGTGAGTGTGACTATTGTTGGCAGACTCTTTTTCTTCGGCAACCTTCCTATTAGAACTGCGTGTTAACCAGCTGTTCTATTATCGGCAACTCGAAATCAACCCCATTTTGTAGTGCGTATGCTTCATTTGAAGAAAAATGTGGCATTACAGGATTGATCGGTCATACAAATATAATCAGATTGAAGCTGAAAGACTAAAGAATCGTTTGAATACATTCAGGGAAGTGTGTTGATGGGAAAACATAGTGAAATTAACGTTTAAATTTTGGTTGCCGAAAACAGTCAATGGGTGCCGAAGCCAACATTTACCCTATATATTGTGCGAGTTGAGTTTTTTAAACAATTTTTCAAGGAAGCAGAACGTGTGCTGCAACTTTGCTCGTCTTTGACGTCTTATTTCCTTTGAATTGATAATTGCCCAAGGATACTAAAAGATTTCTTCGAATATGATGGTTCCAAATTGTAAATTTATTTTGTGCACAATCAAGCGGCAATATTCCATCAAACAGTGAAAAAGATAGAAGAAAACAATATAACCATCGTTGAAGTTGCGTCAGAAGTAGGAGAGCTGAAGTTCAAGCTTGAAAAGAGGCTGAAAGTGGAATACCTTCCTTTATGGGGTGTTTACACTTATGCTATTTCACTAGCGCTAATGAGCTAGCTGCTAGCAAAAAAGCTCAGTAGCATAATGTAAACAGGGCATTAGCGTCTACCAGCATGAGATTTCAGGAGCTTCTGAAACTCGTGCTAGTTGGCGAGTAAACTAGCGCTAGCAAATCCACACAGATGTAAACACCCCATTAGCAGTACGTAGTCAGTTGGCAAAGCTTATAGATGAAGCTTGGCCACACGGAGGCGTGTTTAGAACTAGCACGCAGAATTTTTATCGAGCATGTATTTAAAAAAAGTTGATTGCTTTAAGTGGGTATGTTTGAAGGAGGTACTTGGAATGGTCAGTTGTTCAGAAAAGTTTTGAGTATATTGCAGAGTTCAGCGGAAATAATGATTTACTTGAGGCGGATAAAAATGAGCGAGACCTTTTCGACGAAATAGCTTATATTAAGAAATAAAGTGATGAAGGCAAAATTAAAAGTTGGAAAGAGAGCAACACAAAAATTGAAAATAGATGGGTAGAGATATTTATTTATTTCGACACAAATTGCATTCCAATTCGAAACCTCAGAGAGATAGTAGAATTTGCTTTGTGTCTTCCAGGAACTAATGCTGTCACCAGAGGTGGCAACAATACATTTTTTGAAAAACCATCGTCCAGAGCGAAACAAAACAGCCAGCACACGGGCGGCCGTTTATAACTACATTCCAAGCGAACAGCGGAGATAGAGAATAAATAAAAACTCGCAGCCTGATTTTTCCAAACAGTTTATTGTAATGAAATTTTAGCTGTAGGCTTGTGTGGATCAGTAAATTACCAACTTCCTTATTTACGCATAATTTTAACATCAATGCTTATGAGTGGTCAGTCTTCATTCTTATCTTTTAATTCCATGCAATAAACATCAAATAAATGCAGTAATTAGCCAGAAATCAGCAAAATTCTACACGACATAAACTTATGTCGCGCGCACCGCCGGTCTTGTCTGCTTCTTAGTGCGAAAATGTTCTGTCGCTGGCAGAAAACAGTTAAGAAATGTCATGACATTTTTGCCGCTTGCCAGTTTGTTTTTGTGTGTCGTCACAATGGTTATCGCAAAAAGTATCAAATGTTAAGGAAAAAATGTTAAACTCCAGGACTCGTGCCACCACTGGCTGTCACAGAGCAAGTTTTTTTTTGTAGTTAACAAAATTTGGACCACTGAGAAGACATAACTAACCGTTGATACTGTGAAATCCGTACTACAGGTCAGGCAAAACTTTGATGAGAATTGTGATAGTTTTCATATGATGATTTCAGAAAATGAGGGTTTGCTTAAGAAGGTGCACTCAGCCGAAAATATATATTTAAATTATTATACGATTTGTTAAACATAAATAAATTGCTGTTTTTCGAAGAAAAATGATTCTCTCATTCATATTCAGTGTTTTGGACAGGGCGTTCCGCATTGGCCCGGAAAATATCTGATCACTTTAATCTAACAGGAAAAGGAGACAATAGAGAGCCGTTTATGAACAAATTTTCTGTCAAACGTGAACCATCCCCTGATTGGTCGGGCGAACGTATAGAAACGCAAGAATTTTTCCAACAGGGAATGTATTTTCTTGAATTTTGACAGCCGACTGAGTCGCCCATAATGAAATAGTTTTTGCACGGTCGTGTCCGCGAGAGAAGAAAAACAAGTCACAGACAAAAAGAAGGCAGCTGCGAAGAAAAGTATATATTTTTAGCAGATCAATGCAACGATTTCAATAGCTGGTTTGCTCGTTATTTTTTACCGTACAGTTTTGATGCTTCAATCCGTTTTGTACACAGTAGAGAGCTTTTCAAATTCTTTCAGTTTCTCGCATTTGTCGTTCTACTTCTGTTCGTTACGAGGCTACTTGTAGAGTCACTTGATTGGAAGAATTTACGCTCGTTCAGCAATTTGTTGACAACAGATTTCTGTGGCGCTCGCTCGATAGCTAATCAATATTCCCATGCTTATTTAGTATCATTTTCAGTAAACGCTGTGGGTGAAAAAATGTCATGGTCTTTCGGATATACTAGCACATAAAATAAGGCAGATCGAAGTTTGGTTTAAACATTACTTTTATTTTATATCCTCACTAGATAAACCGACTGCTGTTCACTCTGTTATAACCTTGCGATGTTTAAAATACAATAAACTAACGTTACAAACGAAAGAATTAAAACCTAATAATCTACTCCTTGACTTGATTGGGGTATTTCCTTTCCTTGCTTGGTCTGATATTTGTGTGATGGTTTTGACATGCATCTTCAAATGAGCAGAACTTTTTCCCGGGACTATTGCAGCAAACGAAATAAACTTCTCCTTACGTCTATTCTCGGGGACATTGTGTTGTTTACAACCCATGCGATCTTACTAGCAAAACGTTTCAGTGATGAAACATTGCCCTATTCTTGTTCACTATCCATAATATAACAATTGCTGGTTTGACGTGTTTTCTAATGATAATATTTGTGTAATTTAATCTTTGTCCTGTCTTGCTGATTTATCCTCAATTTCAACTACAAGCATCTTACAGATTGAGATTTTGTTTTATAGTAATCTTTATGGTTCTACATCTCTGTCTTATACAGCACATCCTCTAGCCTTCGTACGCGAAGTGAGTGCAACAAAGGCTCTAACGAATATTAGATCTTTTATTTATTGTGTTTGGGTGATTTTGTTCACTTACAAATATGCTGAGGTTACAGGTTACAGGCTATACGGCGTTGCTTGCAAACAACAATATCAACAGCCGACGTATAGCGGTGTTGTGTAGCTGTGTGCTCGATGACACTCCGGTTGACGAGGGATTCGGACGAGCTGGACTCGGCCGACTTAATAAGCGTGGTTGGCAACGAATAAGCTGCCAGCTCCAGCGGCACCAACAACGCCACCACCGTACTTGCCCAGGGAAGAATCACCGTTGGCCTGGAAGAAAATGACAAAAGTAAGGGGGTTAGACATGACTTCTTATGGCTGTTGATGAAGTTTTTCGGTGCTGACTTTGCCATCGAGAAAGTTTGAGACCGTCGGCTGCTGGAATGGGTAATTGTAGAAATCCGCCACAACAACTCGGTGTCAACGTTTCAGTAGGGTGAACCGGTTTTTGTAAACAAGGACTTCTCGCAAATAAAGACTCACTCTTTCATACTAAGTAGCATTTCCCTACTAGATGTTTTTGTATGTTTGCCCCGCGATAAATCGACAGCTACAAGCAATTTTTTCAATTCCAGTTTCACCCTTTTTAAATGTTGATCTCATGAGTTTAATTTATCCGAAGAATTGAACATCTAGCCGCATCTTGGAAATTATTGTGAAATTCACTACATTATTGGAATAGTTTGAGTTTTCTAAAGCCCGGCTAGACGAATTAAGTCGACGTTCAACTCAATTGAACTTGATTGAAATGCGAAATGAACGACTGGAAAGTTGGATGTTTTCAACTTTTTGTATTCGCTTTCAAGTCAATTGAGCTTCGGCCACCAGAGCGGGGGTGAGTTGAATTCAGCTCACTTGCCTCGTCTATACCCAGCTTTACAAATCGCTATAATCAAAAATTGTGTAAATCCTTTACGTTTTCAAATTGTGTGCGCTCTAATATGACTAAGTTTTCTCCGTATCCGGTTTCCGGGGGGCTGGCGGGTGAGCTCTAAAAGTACCTATTTTCGGTTGAGTAATTGAATTATCCGTTCCGAAGCTGCATTCGCACAAATCTCTTGCCATTTTCCCGACCCCTATCCATCTCGACCAACGGCGAAAGTACACACACACACACACATATTCTCAGGAGCAATCGAGGAAAAACAAACGACATCTAGGTTAGCAATTTCCCCTGCTTTTAGATGGCGTTGTTGTTTTCGCTTCGATAAATCCAGCATCCAAACCTCCATCCCCCCGTGATGAATTTGCATCCTGCAGTGATATTATGGCCTTATAAGGACCTCCATTCGATTGGACATCCGTTGCTTCCCACGTGGTTCCATCGGGTCCAACCCTGCACACTGGCATCAGAATAATTGATTGCAGTGTTTGTCCCTATGACACATCCCCTGCCTGCCTCGGATTACATCCGGGTGAATTTATGTCTCTGGAGTTCACTGGACGCACCATGGACCGCCACATGGTTCAAGGCTTATCATCTCTTATCTCACAGAGCTGATGGAGGCATGGACTGGGCCGTGGCGTAATCTGATCCGCAAAAGTCATACAATCGTCGCCCGTATTGCAGCTCGACAAACGTGGATGTAATTAAAATTCTAATCATTTATTTCAATCATTCCTACGCCCAGAGTGGTCCAGTCCGGCAGAGCGTTCAATCTGCGCTCAGGGAAGAGGAAGTAAGCATCGTTTGATTCGGTGCCATTCGACCGGACCAAAACTGAACGCTCCAAGATTGGTTCTCTTCCATCACGAGTTTCGAGGGCCGACGACAACGTGTGATTTGCATCTATAAATATGATGATTGCGATTCCTGGCCCGACTGGGCTGGAGCATTCTGGATTGACTGCGAGGGAGAGACAGACAGGCGGAAATGGCCACCCGCTTTCGACCGAGAGTGAATGGGTGGAGAAAATATTCAAATCACATTTCAATCCCGGATTCTTGACCGTCGGGTGCTGATTTGAATGCGAGATTATGGCCAAAGCCAATGCCCATGTGTGTGTGTTTGTATGTGTTAGGGAGGAACGTGATGAAAATCTGCAACCAACCAGTTTGGTGGTCGGATCGGTGATATTGGATATGATAAGCTGATTAGTGATTGTACCAAGGGAGCTGGTGGGTTTACTAAAGCGCTCCTAGATTATGTGGCAGATTTTACACTTTGGTAGGTGCTTTGTTAGGGCGAAAATTTGCCACTTGCTAATTTTAGAATGTTCTACAGGAAATTGTGCTGAAAAGGTAAATCAGTTAAAGATTTATTCATAGCATTAAAAAGATAAACTGATTTACTTGATGTGGTCTATGACGGTTGTTTACGTAAGGTTGAGAAGTTCTTTTCGCTTTGTTGTACCAATTGATGTTTTTATTTTTTAATTAGCAGTGTTAACAGTCAGCACGCAACTTGCAGTTTGATTGTTGTTACTGAGCATTGGTCTGAAATCAGATTCTTTTAAAGCTTTTGGTAAAATATAATCGAAGAAATCATCATAAACACGCAATGAGCTTTAAAATATCATACGCTATGTTTGGTAATGATCACTAATGACAATTTGTAATATTTGTAGTTAAGATAATTCGACAAAATCACTGATATGATGATTAACTTAAGGCGCTAATTTGCCTTCTCGCTAGAAGTCATTTGAAGTTGATACAGTAGCCCTCTGTTGCCAAGTGAGCGGTAAGGGAATATTTCGAAAACCGTGTTACGAGTTCCCCTGTTTTGCTTTTAACGTGACTCTCATTCACAGACTCAAGAAAATACCTCTTTGTTGAAGATCAAAAAACGTTTTCAGAATGTTTAAAATTTAACTTGGAATTATTTTATAAAACAATGCGATCTACGGAACATCACCATGAAACCATGGACTAAGAAATTTTGTAGAAATAATATGAGAAAATTTTATAGATTCAGGAGTGTAGTGACCGAGCACGATTTCAAAACTACGTGCAACCGTCGCAACAATAGCCAACAGAATGCTGGTGCTATCTTCGTCTGGCCCATTCCAGGTTTAGCCCTTCCAACTAGTCATCCTCAATCAACGCCGCATTCTTCTTCTGTCTCTATCGCTCACACTCTGTTTTAAATATGTCATTGCAGTTAAAACGTAAACAAACCAGAAAATGAATTTTAAATTTTTCTGCCGCTATTCAATTCATATTTAAGAAAATTGAAGTATTCTAGGCATTTATATTGTTCACTATAACAAAAGTAACTGTATCCCAGTATACAACATCCAAAATATGCGAAAAGCTTTCAAACATATAAGAAAATCGATAACAATCTAATTTCATCTTTTTGTGAGTCTTTCAATGGATAGGCCCTTTTTGTAAAACCGTTGTGCTTGTCATCAGAAATGGTACGCCCTTTGCTAAGCCTTTTCGCAACGTCAAATAAATTCAAAACAAATCATCGGCCCTGCACACTTTACACGTGACGGAATCCGTCTTTGACATAAAAGATAAGACGTAAACAAACATGTCATGTAATATTGAGTGCTCCGAGCCTGAAAAGTTCGTTGCTCGACGAAAAGTACACTGAAGGAAAACATCCGCAATACTTCGACTGATTATTGTATTGCTCGAGCCCTTTAAGGTGTTTCGCTGTGAGATCCGTATTCTCGCAACCACTTCGCAACTTCAAGTGCACAAATATCAGCTTTCACGACACGTACCATAATGAAACTGTTACTCCACGTTTGCTGCACTGCAGCATACATGAAGTAGCAATTTCAGGTTAAATGGGGCACTAAATAATTTCCGAGATTTGTGTAACTGAAGATTCGAAGTGGAAGGGCATGTACGGCCTACGTGGTGGCCATTAGTGGATTCTACAAGGAATCACCTTAACCATATGCTGTCGAATTTCGGATGATTTCCTTATGGTTGAATTCGTCATCAACTGATGAGCATCCATATGACAGTCCTCCAAATAAAGGATGATATTTATTTGAAAATTGGCTGTAAAATATACAAGACTCAGAGGACAACATTTTAAGGATAGGATGACTTATAAATGCTATAGATTAGATTATTAATTCGATTGTTTATATTTCCATATTAAAAAGCCATGAACAGCCATTCATCATGGATACAAAATTCCTTGTTGGTTGGTAGAGCAAACTTCCTCCACCATGAAATAGACAATTTACGGTTTCCACGCTTTAACAATGCTCGTACCACCTCTGATAGCGATGGCTATGCTTCCACCTCGTTGGTCTGTTCAGAGCAGCAAATGACATTCGATAGAATTATTTACATCATCGTTTTGAATGATTTGTGTTAAGGGGCTGAGCCAATACCAAATTAATTTAAATTTAAGATGACTGCCATTCTGCAGAGAGCATTACGCATTCCAACTGAGCCGTATCCCTTTTCATAACAATGCTCATCCTGTATTCGAGAGGAAAATCATCTGATTTCAAAACAACCGTCATCCGGTTGCAGCTATCATTCGAAAAGGCGATTTCGATGTTTCGTTTTGAATGGTCTGAGGTTTCATTCGAACAGAGGACGGTGGTTTGGTACAGTGTACGTTTGATTGAGCTATGTCTCGAGTCTATTATGACTCAAATTTATGTCGAAATTGACGCTCGTATATGTCACTCTCAGAGCACCTAAATGTACATGAACTTTTCTTAGTGTGTGCCTCAAGCAGTAGGGCCTAGCTTTGGTTTGAAAATTTTCAATCATCGGCCACTAGGCATATCAATGAAATGAAATAAATGAATGGTTGGCCGTTTTAGCGTGCGGGCTTATTAATGAATCGAAACGTTTCGTTGATCGGCCGTTTCGAAAATCGAGTTATTTTTAATGATTTTTCTCGATTATGCGGAACTTTCCTATACGATTAGTAGCAATCAAGCGGTGTTATAGAATGGTATCGAAACCCGATTTGTTTACGTTTTGGACATAGGCCCATTGCAAATGTTACTCGAGATTTGACCTGGGTACCAGTTTCGACCTTGATTTATTTTTCGAAAACTACTGTTGTGAAAAGTTGTTTCAAATTATTCGTAATATGGTCTGATCACAGACAAACATACAAAACACATTGAATATTTCTCACTGTAAAACATCATCGCTAAAACATTACCGCCATATGTTGAGTACACTGTGGTGGGTAGTACGCTGAACAGATGGCGGTAGTGTGTAAACGTCAAACGCAAGGGAATTGATTATGCGCCCCACAAGTGGCGGCGGTATTACCAACTACGATACTTTTAAATTGACCGTTAAATGCTTGTTCGATTAACAACTTGCGAGTTTTA